TAACTCTACCGGAATATTACCAAGAACATATTGCACTGCCATTACAATAGTGTTGTAACTCAAAAAATGTGAAATTCATGATTATATAAAATCGTCGTTATAATATTGTAAGAAACAATTAAAAGAATAGAATAGAATAGAAAACAGAATAGAACAATCGCTTATTCGACGAAGGCGATAACATGAAGAGAAAATAAAAGACAAATACAAAGTAAAAAAATTAGGCTTAACAAAAAAAAACAATTATTGTATGCTACGCTGCATGCCCCGCCGAATAGGTCACCCGCCTCCGCATATGCGGGGCACAGTATACCCCGTGCTGATTTTCAGTTGGCAACCTTGGTCGATGTTGCACGGATGTGGATATCTACTGTTTTGTCTAGTAGTAATCGAAAAGTATGAACAGACTTATGCAGTCATGCAATGATTTAACTGTGACCAGAGACTGATATGGACATCTATTATGTGGAAAACACTAAACAGTTTAGTCGCATGTGCAAACAATTTTTTTAATAATATTAAGTGACGGGACGAACAAGTCGTGCGCCTGATAGTTACACACCTGTCCATAACAGTTGCGTTGCCACTCAGAGCTTTAAATCGCAAAGATCTGAGTGGCACTGCCACTGCTCCCGACAAGTCAAGTTGACAAGTCCCACGTGCCCGTAATTTAATTTAATTGTTTTATCTTTAAATGCCATAAAACTAATTATTGATATATTTTACATTTTTAATTATGTTTATATTTTTTTTTATAGTATTCTTTGTATTTCATTGGCTAACTCAAAATTTTTAGTACTACAGGTGTATACAGCAATACACCTGTCGCGGCTTGGTACCTTGCATGGTGAACGTAAATTTTTATTTATAAAATTGTTTTGTGTTAAATCTGGTATATCTTACAATATATAAATAAACTCAAAATGAGACACACTTTATGTAAGCTAGTTCTGGCCAAAATAGTCCTTATTCTGAAATATTAAATTATTTATCCTTTTCTGTTTTAAATATATTTTGCAAGTAAGAAATTGTAATGATCTTTCACAGGAAGTAAGTAATTCGTTATTCATCGAATCTAAAAAATACACTTTTTGAGTTAATACACATTTGGATTAACAGTGTGATATATGCATTGGGTATTTCAAACTTTATTTCATACTATACTTCTTTTTTTACGATAAGAAAATCTTAAATCATCTTCAACCCATTGATAAGTCCCACTGTTGGGCACGGGTCTCCTCTCAGGCCAGGGTTTAGGTTAGTCCGACACTCTGGCTCAATGAGGGTGGCTCAAAGTCCCCAGACTTCAAACATTTTCCGAAAGTTCTGAACCTTCTTCGACGATGTTTTCTTTCACCGAAACGGGTCATGGTAAATTTCAAATTACATTTCGCACATAAATTCCAAGTGCAACAGGTGCGAACCCGGACTCGATGCCACATGACCTCTGCTTGAGACGCGGTACTTAGGGTACGGTACGCTATGAGGGACGTTCTGACGTTTGTTCGCTCATAAAGTTTCTTATTAATTGAAAACTACGTTGAAGGAGCTAAGTGATGTACGTTGTTGTCAATAGTGACGTGCAGTGAAATATATGGATGTATAATTTAACGACACAATTCGGCATTTGTTTTTTCGAAATTCGAAATTTAAAAAATTTAATCTAACACGATCGTCACTTACGATCGCTGTACAGCACAACTTCCGCCTCCGGCAAACTCGCGTCAAAGCCCAATGCAAAACAAAGCAGTTTCGAATTGACGATATATTATGCATAATAAACATTTTTATTTTCGTCATATTAAAACTTTTAAACCAGCTACCCCTTGCAATACTAGTTATAAATCTAAAAACTTACTTTGAATTGAGATTTGGCCATCATAGCGCGCCGGTACTGTTAATTATTACTCCTGTCATCCAGGTTTGAAGTACAACAGTAAAAAGACGGGTGTTCAGTACGCTATTGGAGGCCGTTATGCAAAACCTGGCGAGTTCCCTCATATGGTAAGTTATTTGCATATTATAATATTTAAGGAGACCAGGGAAATAATTGTCTTAGTCACCTCGAAACGTGTTTTAAATACGGCCATGTAGTCCACTAAAAGGCTGGGCGTATTTAGCCTTAGGGTGCGTTCTCATTATGTCGTAACGTTTTATTTATCGTGGGATGACTGTCGCATCTAACCTGTTCCCATATCACGACTACTTGTCGTGACCGTGTTGTGGACGTTTATTTTATCGTTGAACAACTGTTCTGTCTAACTGTTCCCACTAGATTGTGATGACAATTTATCGGTTCACGGCAGTCGCCTTGTCGTTTGCACGACAGAAACGTTTGAAAATGCAATTATCTGTCATTACATTTTTATCGTGACGTTTTATTTATCATCAGATGACTGTCGTTATAATACTTTCCATTGTCACGACAGTCTGTCGTCGTAACGTCAAAAAGTCGTGAACGACAGTTAATGAAAAAGTGTTGTACTATATGTAAACAACTTCATTTAAATCTACAAGTCACGACACTTTAAGCTGCACGACTATCTGTCATCACGACATAATGGGAACATGCCCTAAATCAGAGAAAGGCTAATAACGTTCAAGGTCCTGAAAAATTCGCTTTTACTTTAAAATGCTTAGGAGTAAATGGTAGAAAAGTTGAAAATAATATGCCAGATAATCACTCCATTTTCCTAGTCTCAAAACTAGGAAATTCCATGTACTATGAGTATGAACGCGGAACACCCAGATCACAACGAATTTAGCTAAAACTTCATTTACCAATTTGATCCTACTGGGAATCGAACCCGGGACCTCCTCATCCAGCACTCACAGTAAAAACCGTTGGGCAACCGACATGGTCATGCTTGAAAAGAAAAGACTATTATAAATTTCAAAAAATGTATAAATGTTCTTTTGTTTGCCAAAATGGGTTACTTAGCATTACACACATTTATTTCAGCATTAACTTTACTTCAGGTAGCATTTGCGTATGTCTTTTTCAGCAATTTTTAAAAATGTTTCCAATTATTATTTTCCGAAAACTCTCTTCAAGTGAGTTTGTTCATATTTTCCCTGGACTCTTCATTTGTATTTTATTAAAGTTTGTAAAACAACCTTTACGCACAAAAGTATTTTTATAAAGGTGCCAAAAATCACAATACTAATAGATTGTATTATTTTGTATTTGGAACTGTATAAAAATAAGAAGGTTGTTGTCAAATGAACATCGGGAGAGTTCTGGACAAATCTTCAAACCGAATGCTCACAGTAAATATTTAATTACAAGTTTATTCCTTTTTAACCTCTTTACGCTAAAACCACGGCTACGCTCCCACAAATACATATTAATAAAATAAATTACTGACTGAAGAGAACCTTATGCTATTTGAAAAGCAATGTAACAACTTTTTGACTATAAAATGCACTGTACCGTGCCCGAATTTTTAAATTACAAATCTGTCTAATTTTTTACGTTTGTGTGTACTATATCGGGCTCCGTCTATAAGTGCCTACCGCAATGCTGAGTGCGCCGACGTCGGCGCAAATGCTCAGAGGGTGTTGCACGCACATCAGAACGGTCGTACGGCATGTTTCGTAAGAAAACTGTCGCAATTTCGAAATCGCGTATTTATTGTTCACTGGATGGATGTAAAAATAGGAAACATGACAATAAATTATAATTTTTTTCATTACCGAATGCCGAAGAAAGTTTAAGTGTGTAATCTTGTGTTTTTACTATATTATCTTTATTTTCGATTCTTTGTGCCATCAATTCCTAACAATTTAAGTTAGTAGGTTGTGATCAACGAATTATGAGTTTTTAAATATTTAAAATCATGCCCAATGTAAGGAAATACATACCTACTTATTTTCAATTATTTGACTGTTAATGTACATAAGCGAGATTCAAACAAAGACCTTTCGAATAATTTCTTCCTGTGTTCTACCGTTCTACTTTGTTTTTATTATACCTACCCACTTTTTATTATCGGTACCTAACCTAGGTAAGGACCTAGAAGGTTTTACGAGAATTCGTAAGGTGCTGACTCTGTAGCTCAGTTGGTAAAAACCGCCCTGATATGGCACGGACGCAGGTTCAAGACCTGTCGGATCAAAGGAGTTTTCTTTATGTTGTCCATTACAATTAATTACAACTATGCGTAGGCCACACCGCGAACGAAGCTAAGCTAACTTAGCTCACTAAGCCGGGGCATCTTTTCATACTGCGGTTCATACCGCGAACTAAGCGATCCGAGCTAACTAAACTAACCTAACGATCCCGCTAGCTATGTAAAATGTCGTTCACCCAGCACGTATCCACAGTCACTACTTACTACGTACTTTCATAACTTAGCATGACGTGACGTGAGCTAAGCTAGCTAAGTTAGCTTAGCTGGCATAGTTGGTTGCATGCAACTACGTGAGCTAAATTGCTAGCTTCGTTCGCGCTGTGGCCCGCGCATTACTGAGTTCATCCAAAAAACTAGCTACATAATCGAACTTTAAATTTCAATATCAAAACAGAAATTTGTGTCATCATTTTTTTTCTATAGTTTATTGATTCACTTACAGTTATTACAATGTAACATACTATAAATCAATTTGGTGAAGTTCTTATCTAAATTGCACAACTATTTATGAGTGAACACAGCTTGAAAAAAAAACGTAAAATGTAAATTATATACAATTTAGAAACAGCAACTTAAAAAGTAATACAAAATACAAGAGCACAAGGGTCTCGGACAGCATCATCGTACCATTAAACACTCTTAAGGCACTATAATACCCACAATATGACGCCATTCACGTACGCATCTAAATAACAGAGCTAATTATAATTATAGAAACAATAATGTTTTCGTCATTAGAGGTTGCCATGCAAAAACCGGTGGTTTTCCTCACAATTGGTAGGATATTTCTTTTTCAGAAATCATGTCAATTAATCGTACAGAATCCCACCATGTAATTCAAAATTTACACACATGAATCAGAAATTTGTATGTATCACAATACAATAACAATAATAATTTATTTAGCAAGGCCTAATTACAGAATAGATAATTAAAATTAAACAAAGTGCAAAATATTAGGCTGTACAATTAATTCTAAGGTAAATGACCGCTGACTTCCCATACTAGAAAAAATCTGTATTATGGGTGTCAGTCATCCTCCGTGACAACTTACAACCTTGTAAATACAATACCACAGCTTAGTAATTACATCGCCATGACAATACTGCATAAAAAACAACCAAGCACGTATACACCTTGACAATGGTGCTTAACGCGCTTCGCTTAGGGACAATAATTTTGAGAGTGGGTAACTAAGGATACAAACCTATAATTTTAATAAAGGAGTAATTAAAAAATATTGAAAATGACATTTATTTTAGTCGAAGATTTTTGTGTTTTTTACCAAGTTCAAAAAAGGAGGAGGTTCTCAATTCGACTGGGTTTTTTTAACTTAATTTGTGAACCGATTTTGATTATTATTTTTTTGTTCGAAAGAGGGTTTGTATCTTAGGGTCGTATTCCAGAACTCTACTCAATGCTCAAGTCAGGATTTGAGCAGACTTGAGTATGATTTCAAGCACTGGAAATACGACCCTAATGGCAAGGACTTGAGTATGATTTTTGCAATACTCAAGTCCTGACTTGAGTATTGAGTAGAGTTCTGGAATACGACCCTTAGTAGTGGTCCCATTTAAGTTTGAAGAAAATATTCCACCTCAGAGAATCCTGTTTCGTGCACATTCCGGTAACCGATTTCATCTTTGCAAATGAATGTAATTCCAAGCAATTTTGAGGTCAGTTTTTTTTAGTACTCTGTACTAAAATTATATCAAATACATTCTATTCGTAAAGATATTTAATATTAAGTAGACATATTCCTATATAATCATAGTATATAATAATATAATAATTTATATTATTAAAGGCAGCTGTGGGCTGGAAAGCAGCAGTAGGAACATGGATCTTCAAATGTGGAAGCTCTCTAGTTAGTTCCAAGTTCGTCTTAACAGCTGCTCATTGCACTAAAGTTTCTGATCGGGATACCACAGTTGCTGATGTCGTACCGAAAATAGTGAGAATTGGAGACAAGAATATTATTGACCAGGTAATTCATAGTAATATTGAAGCAAATGGAAGATTATATATTAATGTCATTCCTTAATTTAGTTAGAAAGATTTATGTGTACCATTCTCGAAGAGTTGGATGTCAATAATAATAATCTTTGAGTTCTTAGGTTTTCGCGATTGTTAGACATTGGAAAAGAAAGATTTTTTCGGGTTTAAATGGCATTTATTGTCTTTTTTTACACAAACCAACGTATCTTTAGGCTAGTTTCACAGCTGTGTCCGTACGGGCTGTCCGCCTGCGGGCTATCTGCATGCGTAGAATCCGCAGTGTTCTGAATCGCGTATTTAATTTAGTGCGGAATACAGTCACCTACAATGAACGTACGGGTGGCTTGTACGGAGCAATCCGCGTCACGTAAAACGATGTTCTAACGTATCCGTAACTCTCACATATCCGTGGTCACTACTTAACTACGCATTTTCTTAGTTTAGCTTTGCATGCAACTACGTTAGCTTAGCTAGCATAGTTGGTTGCATGTAACTACGCGTGTTGCTTCGTTCGGGGTGTGACCTGTGATTTACTCCGCTTCGGTGCTTCGCGCGAACGGTATACAAATAAATCCGCCCTGCTTTAAGACCAGCCTTACAGGTACCTTGATCATAGTCAGCCGTGGCCATGGGTTAAAATAAGTACACGCGGTTTAGATACGAAAAATAGTTTCGTTTTCAATATTTTTTGGACTCAAAGAAATATCGCATAAGAACTCATTTTGTCTATTTTCATTGACATACCTATTCAAATTACACTCTTTCAGTGGGCGAACGGTCTACCACCAACGGATGTAAATATAACAAGAATCATAATACACCCCCAGTACAAATCACCTAAAAAGTATTATGACATAGCTATTATGGAATTAGAGCATGACGTAGAATTTAATGATAATGTCCAACCGGCGTGTTTATGGACTGAATTTAATACTGATCCTCTTGGACAAGATGCTACTGTTACTGGATGGGGCGTCATAGAGACAGGTAAGTTTGTAAAAGATATACCATTTTAACTACATTACATTTGTAATTTGGATGTTTGAAGTATAATAACGAGTTTTACGTAATATACATAGGCTTCTCAGAAGACGAGTTTTTAAGTGAAGATAAAACAAATGAACAAAAACACATGACAAATTAAATATAGACATTATACGCATATTTAGTGCATAATAAAGTAGATTTTTTGCCGTAATTAATATGCGAGTATTGGAATGATGAAGGTATAAATAAGAGAAGAAGAAGAGTCAGCGGCAATACACATGTGTAAAACGTTAATTAACTTTTCAGCAAAACGCACAACATCTCCGGAACTTCAAGCCGCAGTGATAAATCTCCTCGAATCAAGAACTTGCGACGAACTGCTGAGAGATCGGTTCAACAGACATTGGTGGGGAATGCAGGAACATCAGCTTTGCGCTGGTAAACTAGCTGGAGGGGTTGACTCATGCCAGGCACTTGAAACAATTTTTTTTCTCATTACTGTTTTTTTCTAGACAATAGATTATTAAATAAATTTAAAGAAATCTTCAAAAATATTTAACAATTTAAAAAATATTGCTTCATTGGTAAGACTCATTTCATTGTTTATGTTTGTTTCATATTCCACTTTATTTAAGTAAGTCTTTTTTATATTACGTCCATTTCCCAGTGATGCAAGTGGAGGCTTAATAATCTTAACTTGCCACAATCTCGATACTACTAACAAACAATTATACTATTTTAATCCTAGTCTCGTTCTAGTTTCTCTTCACTATTGTCAATTATAATATAATTGAAGACTATTATTTCTTCCAGGGTGATTCCGGCGGTCCTCTACAGGTGCGAATTGACCTGCCTAAGTCGTCTCAAGGAGCAATGCACTATATTGTCGGCATAACGTCATTCGGCTTCGAATGTGCGTTACCTAATACGCCTGCTGTTTACACCAGAGTCTCTTTTTTTGTTGACTGGATCGAAAGTATTGTTTGGAGTTAAGAACAGATTATTTTTTGTATCAATACCATCATGTCGTGTCTCATTTCTATTAAATCAATCGCGATTATTTAATCTAATGATGTCTAATTTAATCTAATCTATAGTACCGGCACTCTATGATGGCCGTTTTGACGTTTATCTGCTCATCAAGTTTCGTATTAAGTCATAACTACGTTGAAGGAGCTAATTGCTGTATAATGTTGTCAATATTGGCGTGCAGTTAAATTTATGGAACGTATAGTTTTGTGACGACGTTCGAAATTCGAAATTTAAAAAAATGAAATCTAATACGATCATCACTTATGGGATCGCTGGCCAGCACAACTTCTACCTCCGGCAAACTCGCATCAAAGGTAAATGCGAAACAAAGCAGTTTCGAATTGACGATATATTAAACATTTTTATTTTCGTTTTATTAAAACTTTTTAATCAGCTACCTCGTGCAATGCTAGTCATAAATCTAAAAACTTATAGATGTGACTGGCATTTGATTATATTTTTTTCGATAATGAATTGAGATTTAATCTCAGTATTGTAATCAATCAAAACGGCTATCATAGCGTGCCGGTACTATAAGTAATGGGGCAATTGTATTCATATGTTTATCTACACACCTATCATAAACACTCTATGATATGTTCAAAAACCGCAAATTACGACCAGCATAAAGGTAAACTGTTAGAACAAATTTCTTATCTGTGAAAATGTTATTATTGCTTCATAATACCATCGAATTCGGTGTTATTATTACATTCAAATTTCGAACATCTCCGAAAAACAAAACAATTTCATTCGACCTCAATTCTAATATCAGTCGAGATGAAGTTTTATTCGAAATGAAATGTCAATTGCAAACAATTTTGACAAATTTCACACGTTACTTGATATCGCACGATATGATAGTTGGGGCCAACTCTAGTTTATCTATGAATTAAATAAAAACTACGGTTGCGTGAGATGCGCGAGAAAAGTTTTTATTTGCCGCCTTTTCGCCAATCGTAATATGCGGTTAACGTCACATAAACTACTATTTGCGTATCTTATTGTAAAAATAAAAGTTAAGTAAAAGTAAAAAATCATTAATTTCGTTCGGAGAATCTTTAAACGTGTCTCCTGAAAATTTATAATTTTACAGATACAGCCTTGTTTCTCTAATCTTGCCATTACCACAAACATTCTGAGCTTCGCGCTCTTTGATAAGTGCAGTCCAAAGCGTGCTGTTTAATGTGTAAAGAAGGCGATGAAAATAAATTCAGAATCTGCAATTTATCTCTCTCTATTTAGTAGTCTAAAGCATATGTCTGAGCGAGAGAACACATCAACATAATCTCTTAAATTACTACTTTGTTTTTAATAGTCGAGACTACCTTATCAATAATTTAAATTTGATTAGGTCAAGTGGCAGAGTCACTGTAAGTAAAACTACTTCAAAATTTACCAACGAAATTAAAACCATTTGAAAAATATATATGGCATTTTAATATACGTTTCTATTTAGTTCAGTAATCAGTTGATACAAAAAAAAAAATTAGTATATGTACTACCCATTAAATACAGCGGTTTTCTTGTAAAATTTCAATGTTGTTTTTTTATAACATCAAGAGACGGACGAACAAGTTGTGCGTCTGTCCATAACAGTTGCAATGCCAACTTCACCAGCATTCTTAACCTTTTGTTATTTTCCGATAGTGAAAAATTTTTAGGAATTGTGTTTTCACACCGTATAGTATAATCATTGTATATCCTGAGATATATTTTTTCCAAAGTGATTACTTCAACACTTTCACTTTTATGCGGAATCAACCAAAGACATTCGAGGTTGTATTGACTCTTAACCGACTGCAAAAAAAGATTTTTTTTTTTTTTTCGACAAAATATTTTTTTGTTGCAAAGAGAGTACCTCAGTATTAGTCTCATTTAAATTTGAAGAAAACATTCCACCTCTAAGGATGGCAAACTATTAGATGAATCCGGTTTCGTACACTTCCCGGTAACCAGTTTCAATAAAACTTGGCAAATAGATATAATTCCCCGAACTTTTGAGGTCGGTTTTTAAAAAAGTTATGATTATACAGAAAATAAACGAACTCTAGACCACAATCTCATCTAATGATAAGCAACTATGTGGCAGACAACGTTATGATTTTGTCTTGTAAAAATCTAGGAATACCTACTAGGGCATAGATGGACGTAGATTTCTGTGTTTACAAGCTTACAACTTGCGTATAAAAACAATCTTGATTGACGAAAAAGGTACCAAGTTACCTACTCGATGCATTTATAAAGGGTGATAAAAAAACCACTGACCATTTTAAAGGAGTATACTGCATAATGGAAATAAAAAATACATGTTCAGTTTTTTTTTCAAATACTTAAGAAATAAATAAGTTATGGCGTCTCAAAGTTTTCCGAAAAATTGTGAACAATATTGATTAGCAGACGCCGTTGCTATAGCAACAAGAACGGTGTGGCGCAGTGAGCAGAGGCAACGCACAAATTCATGTATTTAACAGTCAACAAAGTATTAAACTAACGCGCGATGCGTTAGCGCAGGAATGTCGTTGCGTGACGCGACGTGCTGGCGCCTAGGCGTCTAGACAACTCGGCGCCCATCGCTCAATTTAATTTACTATTTAGAGCTATTTTGCGTTAGAAATTATTGGGAAATATTAACATCAAAAAAATGGAGATTTTTTTTTGTTTTATATCACTAATGCTTTCTATTACTGAATCTTATTCACAGGATAAAAATGACCAGTGATTTTTTTTTATAACCTGTGTAGGTATGTAGAGTTCAAGGTAGACAGGAGTGCCATCCGTTTTATGAAAACGACATGCAAATGAATGATTCATTGCGAATAAGTGTACTTTGCTGGATAATTTCTTATTCCACTATGATAAAACTGCATTTGTGTACAGTTAACAGCACATTAATCCGTGATGTAAGATGTTAATGTCTATTTTTTATACAGTGTACATACCGTGTATTGTGTACTGGACAATGTGCGGAAAATCTGCATAGGTTTAATTGTAAATTAAAGTGAAATAAATAATGTTTTTAAAAAGAGTTATATACAGTTTTATTCGAATATCGTCTCTAAAGTAACAAAATAAGATCCGTTAATCTGCGGCTTGGTAAGCTGCGGTCCGTACTAAGCATCAAAAAATCAAAAACATACTTGTGCTTTTTTTATCGCGAACAAATCGTGCGTCTGGTGTTAAGCAATACACCTATCCATGACAGTTCCAGTTCACAAAGATCTGAGAGCCACTGCAACAGTGCCCGTCACTCTGAGACATAAGTTGAAAAGTCCCATATGCCTGTAATTTCACCACCACCCTTATCCTTCATAGATAAGGCAGTACTGCCCTGGACGAACTCTTTTTCAAGGAACGTGTAAACTACTTTTGTTTTTATAATAATATTCCAGACAATTAGCAGAGAAAAATATTACCGGAGGGGTTAAATAATGTCGCTATAACCTTAGATTCACTTTTCTTACCATGACTCGCTAATCACAAGGTTAACCTTATACTTACTATATTGTTTTATAGGCAGCTTTGTGACTTTTCGTCCACTTAATTCACACCATCTGGCCTCTAACTCAAACTAGGGAATTCGTTGTACCATGAATACCATAATAACAAAATCGACCCGTTCAAAACAAAAAAGAAGGAAAAGGGTTCGTTTTTTAATTTTGTTCATATATCAGGTATACAACTCAAGATATACAACTCAGCCAGCTCTCAGAGTGCTACCTGCTAAACAATACTTATATAAAATGTCCGCGGAAAAATCCTCTCATCGGTTATTATTTCGTAAACAAGTTTTGATGTAACAAAATCGTTTGTATGGAATTTATTGGCTTGTACAAGGTTTTATTATTATTTCTTTTCTTAAGAGTTAGTTAATAAAGGAAATCAAGTAAATTAGTAAATATAACTAATAGATTCATAGCCTCATTTTGCGGAAATACTTGTCAATAAAAATGGAATTAAATTAATTTACTGTTCTGCCAACGACGTGAATATTTTTTTTTTCATAAATTAATTGCATGAGAAATGTATATAGAATAGCAAATTAATTTACTTTTATTTTTTATTACAAAAATAAGTTGTTACTGGCTTCAATTTTTATTAGTTTCATTGCTGCTGATTAACAGTCTGTTAAAAAGTGTAACTTTTTGTAAAGAAGAAATTTTAGAAATTTTTACACAGATATCGTTGATTTGCATTATACTTTATTTTTGATGTAGCTACATTTCAAAAACATGACATCGCAATGTTATTACAATAGTGTAAGTATTAACTCAAAAAGTATACTTTCTCAGAATCAATGAAAAACGAATTACTCATTTCCCATAAAAGATCATAAAAATGTATGTACATCTTATATAATTTATTACAGACCATTGAATAACATTGAACAATATATTTAAATATAAGATGGATCCTATAGGATAGGATATTAATGAGGATTATTTTGGCCAGAACTAACTCACATAAAGTGTGTCTCATTTTGAATTAAGTAGATATCTTTATATTGTTTCTTACAATATTCTAGCGATGGTTTTATTGACGTTTAGAGGATTAAATTTTACGTTCATTAATGATATAATATTAAATTTCACATATTTTAGGTTACAACACTATTACAATAACAGGGCGATATAAAATATGCGTTTACAGATGTGGAATTGAAGTTGCTGTCAATAAGATAATTCGTATCGTCAGTCAAACGTGGTCATAAGTCCTGTAAAGCGCCCAGTGCAGAAATAGGTAAGGTACTCTTTCACAAGGATCTCTACTGCTACTAACTTTACTAATACTATTAGCTCTACTTCTATTAATATTGAGTTCAAAACCGTAGATTTGCAAATGCTATGTGGTAGCCGTATGTTCGATTAATGAATCAGTTCTTTTACGTCTACATTAACACATATTAATTTAGAAAAGTCGACGAGAATTGTATTGATCGTTCATGACAATAAATGCTTAAAAGTCAAACTATTTTAGATTATTGTTTTGGCTAAACCAATAATCGGAGTCATGTTGTCAATTTCCTGGAGTTCTGTCTAGTATTGATTAAATTTCCTAGGAATTAATTAAGTCAGTAGTGATCAAATTCACATGATTGCGATTTAACGTTTTGATGAAAATTAGATAGGTTTACAAACGAGAAGCGAAATAAACCAGTTGAATTACGCAACTTATGCTGAAACGTTTTAATGTAAAAGCTCTTTTCAATGAAGCGAAGTTTTATTTACCATTCTGCATTTAAATATATACGACCGTCTTCGTAAGAAAGATTTAAAGTCGTCTGCAATATAATATCGTACCGCCATTTGCAAATAGTATACGTAATTTTTTTTAAGTTTTTTACTTTTTAGAAGCTTTCTACAAGGACTTTCATTTTAAAAATACTTCATGGTGTTTACTATAATATCTATAATATTAGTCTTCTTCCAGTGTGCTTCCGGCGGTCCTATACAAGTTCGAATTGACCTGCCTCCATCATCTCGAGGAGCAATTCACTATATATCGGCATAACATTATTCGGTTTTGAATGTGCGTTACCTAATACACCTGCCGTTTGCACCAGAGTATCTTTTTCTTCTTTCATTGACTGGATCGAAATTAATGTTTGGAGTTAAGACTTAGACTCTAAAAGTTTTTCTTCTCTGTTTTTTTCCATCCCTTTGTAGCCAAATCTACTTAAATTCAATTCGGACGGAGTTGACACTATTTAAAAACATTGTTTGGTAATATTTAGTTTTGTAAACCGGCCTTTACCAACGACCCTGTAAATGGGAAAGTTGTAGTGGTAATTAATATGGAAAGTTATTGCCATGCTAGATGTCATAAGAGAATGTTTCGACCCCTCTTCACAAAGGCGTCATCGAAGTCTGAAATAAAATCTAACTTTCATTCTCATTTCTTTGTTCGCCAAAACAGTTAATAGACGCAGCGTCTCCAAAATACTACGCTGCGATCCAAAAGTCACACACCTATCCGATGTAAGCAAAAAACCGCCACGGTAAAATAGGACTGGCCATCGGCCATATGCACTCGAAGAGGTGGGCATGTAATACTACTCAATGGGTGCCACAAGCTGGCCGTCAGCGGTGCGACTGACCAAGATAGGATAACCTTGACACGTCCTTGAGCTACTGACCAGACGTTGCTGTAGATAAGACGACTAGGAAGTTCATGAGAAGTGGACAGTGGAACACTGTTGCTAAGTAAAATAATAATTATTACAAAGAGTGCTTAGCATAGTACCCACATTTTAGTGTAATGAGCTCGTGGGCTCGTTAGTTAGAATTAACCTAATGAACTGTGCTTATTTAAAACAAGTTCTTCTGGATTATCTATATTTGAAAAAATCATACTAGAGGATTTTGTTGTCGTGATTAGTTGTTTGATGTTGGATATTGATTGACAAAATGAAGTGTTTTCGATTTCTTATATTTTATATGGGTAAGTAATAACATCAAACGTGTTATTTGTCTTGCGTTTCTGATATGTATAAAAATTAGAATAATCCTCTTTATCTGTAACATGGAAATAAGGCAGTTAAAACTTCTAACTTACAAATATGATTTCCGCACAAACTCACTTATATCGTCTTCCCTTCCAGCCACAGCGAAACATGTTATAAATGGAGCAATACTAAATAAACCAAATAATTCAACGGACGTGAAAAAAGGAACTGGTAATTGCAATAATCTACAGAAATTGGAAACTCGACTTCGTGTGACAATCCGAGTATGTATAAGTATGTCAAATCATATCATCGACGCTTTTCAAGCATTACACCTCTAGATTTTTTGAGTCTTGTTCACATGAAATAAAAATAAAGTAAGAATATTTTATCACTTATCGGGAAAATTGAATATTATGATTGATTGTGGCCTTGAAACCATTACCTACACGAATCGATACGATCAACTTATACTTAAGTAAAAAAAACAAGAAAATATCACTTACTGTTAATAAGAAACATTTTGAGAAAAATCTTTAAAATAAAATCCCATTCGGAAAATACTAAGATGGACTATGTATGATATTAAAATTTCTCTCTAAATGCAGCCGATGCAGTACTAAACGGTAAATTATTCATTTGACGTGTCTCGTCATATCCTATTAATTAATCCCTGATGGTCCTTAACTATTTAATTGTTCGCCATTTCAGCAAAATGATCCATGGAACTGGGGCGTTGCAGACGACTTAACAGTAACTGAGCGAGTAAGTTGAAATTTAACATTACACTTTGAAGCTTCCTTACATAATTTAGTCCAATTTCATCCAAGAACCAACGCATTCGATCCAGGTTGCTACAGATCATTTCTATCGTGATCCGGCAGAAAACTTGAAGACAGATGATCCACGACGACCGTGTTCTAAGTAAATGAATGCACGGACTAGATCCGCTTATGTTTTTAAAATTGTACACGTCTTTAATTGCAGAAATTTAATGATTACCAGGTTTTAACGTCATCACCACAACCTACGGAAAGTATACCACAACCAGACACGGAATCCAGCACATTGAGTGAATTTGATCAAATTTTAGCTGACTACTATGCAGACGAAACGAATCCTTGCGTTCAGAAATTACCTGAAATGCCCGACTTTAGCAAGCCTGGCAGACGTATTAGTGAACAAAGTAAGGAAAGTATCTGAATTGCCATTAACACCAAATCTTATTAAATTCAAAAAGATCATTTTTAATAACGTCGCAAATATACCTGACGACCTCCGTGGTCGAGTGGCTTGTGACACCGGTTTTCACAGTGTCGCCATCTCTGAGGTCCCGGTTTCGATCCCTGGACAGATCAGTGTAGAAAACTAACTTTTCTATATTGTCTTGGGTCTGGGTGTTTGTGGTACCGTCGTTGTTTCCAATTTCCATGACACAAGTGCTTTAGCTACTTACTTTGGGATCAGAGCAATGTGTGTGATGTTGTCTAATACTTATTTATATCACCCATTCATAGGAAGCGCTTGGCTTTCTCCTTATTAATGCTTAAGTGTAGAATCATTGATCACATTATCGCTTAACATCAGATGAGATTGTGGCCTAACCTGCGTCAGCTATTAAATAAAAAGAAAACCTATCCTTACTTTCAGCTTTATTAAAGGTCATTTAAAAGTCATTTAATAAAGCTGAAATCTTTAAAAAAGTTTAACATGTTTTTAGAATGTTATGAATACATCTGGGACATAAAACACCGAGAAGATCAAAAAGTACACGACGACCTATGTTCTGTGCACATAACAGTTGTGGGTGGACAGGATGCTTTGCCAGGAGAATTCCCGCACATGGTGAGACTAACATCTGGAGACCTATTTTCATAAGTTCCATAACGTCTTTCGTGTAATTGACAAGCATAATATGTATCTAATCTACCCACTAGCGTTTACGGTCCTGGCCTCAATATACCTACTAAATTGGTTATGCATTGATAATATGACTGCATTGCCGCTCGGCTTACAGTCGACTTATCGCTACCGGTATTTTTTCCTTTTTAAGTAAAAGATAACAAAAACTAACTTTTTTATGAAGAAATACCGGTAAATAAACGTACTAAAATTTATTAATAACAGGAGTCCCGTGCCGGGTTGTTCTTGGCGCAATGGTTGTCCATGGCCATAGAACGAGGAAATGAGGCAAGCGTGATGTGCACCTTTGAGCCCGGATCAGTCAGGGGCGGGATTTTTGACGAAGGTTGTAGATAGCACTGAACCATGTTAGTGTAAGATAATAAATAGCAGTGTGTTTTTGTAATTTCATAATTGTTATGAAATTAATAACTATTTATTAAGGTTTCCATAAACGTGTTCAATTATTGAAGACCTCTGGATGATCTGTGATAAGTAAGTCACAGATCATTCATTGGCAAAGGTCAATTGTAATTGAAAATTTGAACCTCATCGGCGCTCAGAATTGCATTGAAACTTTTAAAAAGTTAAAATTACATCTCATGTTATTTGTCGCAACACTGTTTAATTACATTTACCTTCCAGGCAGCAGTGGGATGGAAAGCAGCTCAAGGAACCTGGATCTTTAAATGTGGAAGTTCCTTGATCAGCTCAAAGTTTGTTATAACAGCTGCTCATTGCAGTATGACTTCTGACAGAGACACTTCGGTCGCTGATCCTGTACCAAAGATTGTGAGACTAGGAGACAAGAATATTATAGATATTGTAAGTTGTCTATTCGAGATTCTAAACAAATGTGGGTATCTGTGTGATAAGTCAGTAATTACATACACACTTGTTAACTGAACAGTAAGGTTGCCACAGCATTTTTGTGAAGGCCTATGATTTTGTTCGAAGTCAATGTCATTAGTCATTATTGCATTACAATAAGTAAATGTGATTGCATAATGTGAGTGGCAATCACCTCAAAGAAAACGTGGCGTATAATAACTGCGGCAAGGTCCACAGACGATCTAAGGAAAGTGGCCGTGCAAGACCGGAAGACTTGGTGTGATCAAAGGGAGACTTGAGTCGTGATTGATTATTATTATAATGTCTTCTACTTCCAGGAAGCCAACGACCTCGAACCAAATGATGTAAACATCATCAAAATAATCGTCCATCCTCTTTATAAGTCGCCCAAAAAATACTACGACATAGCTCTAATGGAACTGGAAAATGACGTGAAATTCACTTCCTATGTTCAACCGGCTTGTTTGTGGACTAAATTTGATATAAGTCCTCTTGGAACTAAAGCCAATGTAACAGGATGGGGAATTACTGAAACAGGTATTATTAATCAAATCCAGATGTCACACGCAGTTAATGTTGAAATATGAATAGGCAGTGTCAAACTGATTCCAAGTGTCCACACTAACCACAGATATGTAAACATTTGCCAGAAATTAATTCTATCTATTTCGCATTTTGTTGGTTCATTTTTTGTTCACAAGTGTTTTAGGAGACTTTCTAATTTTATCAAAAATGTACCGTAAGGACATTAGGATACGTTTGTTATTATCCAATTTACAGATATTTTCGAATAGTGTTACCGTAGTTTAAGGAAATAAATTATTATAAATATTTTCTATATCTATTGTCTCTGCGTAAATTGAACCGATGACAAAGACCTCAAGTCGTCCATAAGCACACAAAAGAAAAAATTAAGTTATCGACGCGACGTAGGAGACGTTCTCCATTTCTTATAACAGTACTTTTTCTAATAACAGTTCTTTATTAGCATTTACTTTATTTGCTTGTGAATATTTGGAGCCGTTGTCAGAGTATGAAATACCGTTGCATACGACTACAACAGTACACATGATAGCAAACTTATTTAATATATTATAGCATGTTTCTTTTTTTGTTAGACTATTGTTTTTTTTACTCTCTTTTTGTTATTTTTACTTTCTTTTAATTATAGATTTGTGTTGTATCGTCGTAATAAAACTTTTTATTTCATTCTCAAGTTGTTTACGCTTTTAATGTTCTTTGTTATTTTTCCAGCGAATCGCACATCATCACCAGAACTCCAAGTTGCAGAAATAGACATTTTGGATTCAAAAACCTGCGACGACCTCCTGGTTCCAATAACGAATAGGCACTGGGAACGTATGTATGACCATCATTTATGTGCTGGTAATCTGAATGGAGGTGTTGATGCTTGTCAGGTTAGTCAAAATAAAAATTTTCTTATATTAAAAAATAATTTTAACAAATTACTTAATTTTAACGACTTAGGATTCCCGTTGATGAAGACAGATTTACTGTACTACTACTATCCATCGCTACTGTGCAAGTTTCTGACGAACCTCTCTGGCTTCACATTCATCAATCTTTTTATACAAGCCTTTCTATTCTTCTGACTTACGCACTTCGACCTTATTAAGAACATTCTCAATTGATCTGAAACGTCCTTCCTTATCCTCTTCCAATATTGCCTTCAACTATACCTCTATATTTCTGTTTCGTCAGCCTACTTTTATTCATTGATCTATGTACCCAAACTACCTCAACACACCTTTCTCTATTTTTGTCGCATCATATTTTAAACCACATCGTTTACAGATTACGGTATTCCTATCACAAAACCGTCAGCAGTTTAAAAAATAATGCGAGCTGGAATGAAGCTATCTCTTTAGAGATTAGTTTATTAATGAGAACTTATTTTCAGGGTGACTCTGGAGGTCCTTTACAAGTAAAAATAAACCTGCCTACGTCCTCACAAGGAGCAATCCACTACCTCATAGGAGTGACGTCATTCGGATTCGATTGTGCATTACCTAATACCCCCGGCGTCTACACCAGGGTTTCTAGCTTTATTGACTGGATTGAAAGTATTGTTTGGAAATAAAAAAATATGACAAAATTGTTGTTTTTATATACACGTAGGTAAATAAACTTTAGCTGTTAATGCTTAAATATCATTTCTTTCGTTTTTTCTTGAAGTTAAAGAGGCTATATAAAGCCTTGAAAACTCCTTCTTCATATAATTTTAGTAGCATCAGAGCTTCTTGGAAAAGATTTCGTCCAGGGAAGTACTACCACCTTACCTATTTCTGCCGCCAAGCAGTAATGTGAAATTACATGCTCATGGAATTTATCAGCTTATGGTTCTTTTTTTTTATGACATCAAGCGACGGGACAAGCAAGACGTACCATCAGGTGGTAAGCTACACGCCTGTTCATAACAGTTGCAGTGCCACTCAGGGCTTTAAATCGCAAAAATCTGAAGGGCACTGCCACTACGCCCGCCACCGTGAGACATAAGTTGACAAATCCTACGTGCCTGTAATTTCACCAGCACCCTTATCATACAACACCGGAAAACAGTCACGCTGACATTACTGCTTAGCGGCAAAAATAGGTAAGACGGCAATACTTCCCTGGACGTACTGTTTCACAAGGACCTCTACTGCTACTAAAATGTCCCAGAGTGACGGTCGCAATGACAGTGCCCCTCAGATCTTTGCGATTTAAGCCTCTGTGTGTTTTTCAGCGGTTTGAATTCATGAATTTTTCCCCAGGTATGTAATATAAACAAATGGGTCAATAGGTCTACATCAAACCATGTTGCTAATTCCTCCGTGGTTTACGATGGGTCGACCGCAACAACCATTGCAAGTATTTACCTTAATCTCTTACGACCACAAGGCCTATTAACCTAATTAAAACTTCCACAGTAGAATTATTGAACTCGTTCTATATACGTCGATAATGTTTTAACTCATTTGCACTGTGTTAATGCCACTATTGAAATAATTGTGAATTTTTAACTTAAAAAACCGACCTCAAAAAAATTTCTTGTCCATTTTCGTTATCGCGGTCTCCTCAACGATTTCTGAAACTCACGTGGAAGTCCTTGTCAAAACGAATTATGTATGCCTAAACACAAGGTAGCTGCTGGACCTTATTATTTGTTCCTTATTATTTAAAGTTAAAAGGCACCAATGTTCCTACGACGACATGAACAATGCTATATGTATAATAGTTGATTGGTTTGCTGTTAATAACCTGCTCCTTAATGAGAAAAAACAAATTATGTGAAATTTACATTACCCAATGTTAGAAAGACGGTTACATACATTGTAGTTAGAAACGAAAAAATTAACCTTGTGGATACAGTTTTATTTCTAGGCATAACGTTAGATGCTAAATTACAATAGGTTCCACATATAAAAAAGTTGTCCAAAGTTCAGCTCTGCAGTGTACGCGATTAAAAAAATACGGAAACTTTCAGACGTCGAAATAACTAGATTGGTTTACTTCAACTACTTTCACAGTCTAATGACATACGACATTTTGCTTTGGGGTAATGCCGCCGATATCAATAGAATCTTTGTCCTGCAGAAACGTGCGATTAGGGCAATTTACAATCTGGGCTCCAGAGTATCTTTGAGAAATAAGTTTAAGAAAATTAACATTCTTACACTAGCATGACAGTACATTTATGAAAATGTAATTTTTGTTAAGAGAAATAATTTTATTACGAAAAATAGTGACAGACATAACATTAATACAGGGAATAAAAATTAACTAGCTGTTCTTGATAGGTGTCTTCACAAAGTCACAAATTCTAAGGGGCAATGTATACGCTTCTATAACAAGATTCCGGTTGATATACAAAATTTGCCATTCACGAGGTTTAAAACTATAGTGAAACAAAAACTTTATACTAACAAAAATCCGTGGTAGCTCATATATATTGTCTCGATATCTGATATTTGAAAACAAAAAAAAAGATAAATGTTGAATGTGCACAAATGTTATTTACAAAGAGGAACTCCTAGAGTTTCTTGCTCATTCTTCTCAGGGGAATCTGCCTTCCGAATGAGCGGTAGAGTTTAACCAATGTGACGATTTCAAATGTAATAATGCTTACCTGTGAAATAAAGATTATTTTGATTTTGATTTCTGATTTCTACACTCTGCCGCCCGCTAACTAAAACGCTAAGTGACAATATATTTTTTTTTGAGATATCATAAAAAACCATAACCCAGTTTTAGAATACTGAAATTGTTTAATGATATTTCCGATATGCAAGTCGAACACGTTAACTAATTATAATAGTTTTTAAAAGATAATTGTGTGCTCTATTTTTTGCTATTTAAAACGGTTATTTGACCATTTGTCACTTAGCCGCGTTTTAGTCAGTAGACGGCAGCACTGTTGTGGAATTCCTCTCATATATCTACAATTTCCATGAACAGATCAGCTCTAGTTCTCTATAAGATTACATTTTCATTGAAATTACATCTATGTGCCAAGTTTTATTCAAACTAGTTCACTAAATATTGGTGAAATTTTATAAAACGAATTCACTTCCTAATTTGCCACCCTTGCTACAGCAGCGCTGCAGCCGCGCGATTGTCACTTTCCATACAATTTCTAGAAGCGCTGAAACCGCGCGGCGGCCGCGCGACAGTCGCGCTGCAGCCACGCTCGGTTGCATCACGGTTAGTGAGGCGGGGATAATCACCCCCAAATACTTAGAAAACGATAGGCAACTTGCTATTATTCGAAAAATCGTGCCCGCCATCTTGGATTTAGAAGTGAGTGCCGTTTTCGTAATGAGCACCCCCAAATATTTTGAAAACTTGCCATTATTTGAGAAATCGTGCCCGCCATCTTGCATTTAGAAAAGTCGTGTTAGCCATCATGTATTCAGATATAAATTTTGCTGATGTGGGCACAATAATGTGGGGATAATTTTTATCGAAATCTCTGTGAAAGAAAAGAAAGTACTTAACTCTTTATAAACTATATCCAGGCGGACTATGATCTGCCAGTCTCCTTCGTCAAGACCTAGCAGTGTCACATATAAAGAGTTGGCGATAATGATAGGTCGGTTGAAGCATTGTATTGGAAATATTAGCCAGTCTAGCTAGCTGTTGCCGGTGTGTGCCACGACGATGCTCTTTTCATCCACGCCGACTTACAATGTACGGTGGCCAGAGTGTGGAAGTCCTTGAATCGACTTCGCACTTAGGTAAGTCGCTGCTGAGATGAGATGTGGAAAAGGGGGTTCTGAGATACTAATCTAACCCAATGTGACTGCGGTGCCCCAGCACATTCATACAGCTCTTGCTGTCGTGCCCCTCTTGCCCTAATAACTGCACGAGGTAAGATATGTACGCGGCCACAGATAACGCAGTCAAGATGGCAACATACTATTGAAACTAAATATAGTCCTAAAATAAAAGAAGCATCGACACGATAAGAAAAAGGAGGAAACAACGACAATGATAATGATGATAAAGGCTCGCTACCACAGACTTATTATATCCAAATAGACGCTGCAAGTGTACCTACTTCGCATGCCCAACGTAAGCCTGAAAGATTATTGCCGCTGCTACGCTTCAGAACACGACTGGCCGTTATCGTAGTTAAACATCAATCAAAAATGCGAATAATGCCTAATTATGCCATTAGAACCTGCAAAAACACCACAGCTATGAGAAGATAATTAAACAGGGACTTTTCTTTCCACAGTTATGTAATTTTTTAATCAGAAATGCATAATTTATTTTAAAATCAATTATTATCATTTTGAATGAATTTCGAGAAAACAAATATGTAAACGAGTGTATGCCGCATGATTCGTAATACATTGCGGCTTTTACTTGGTGCGGTAAACTTGTGATTCTTCTTTAGTAGGCCATGAATATCGAACGAGCGATACTTTCGTAGAATGCTTTCAGTTTCGTGGTACTGCCGCTTTGTCATGTTTTTGGTTAAATGTTACGATTAGTGATGTTCACTTGATGCAACATAGTTCTCGATTCCGATCGATTTAGGAAACAAAGGGATGATAATTCTTAAGACCCTAAATATCAAAATATTCTATAAAGTTTGTAGTTGTTTTTTTTTTTCAGTTTTCCGTATCAATTTTTTTTTCAAAATACGTATTAATAAAGGTCTTAATTTTCTTGTTCTGGTATTATTTTGCCATATTAATATTTCCCGGCTTCTTATAATCAACAAATACTTGAAAAATAATTATTCTAAATACGTGCTGCTTCCGCGTCTTCGATTTAATCAATCGCTTTAGTGCCAAAGGAGGTTCCCCTTCACTAAATAGCGCTTGTGACATCATCGGAGGTACAAAAATTGTGGCATGCTTGGTTTTCATACAGATCGCGGTACTTGAGGCGTCCATTTAGAAATATTATGTCTGTGTTCGCCACTCTGGGTATAAATCACAAAATAAATTACACAGTGTAGCAAAGTAGATAACTACTTCCAGTCATTTTTCCTATATGCCAAACACTATAAGTCTACGAAGAAATGGTCGCATTTAAACCTGATTAGGACAATTTCTCAGCGATTCAGGTAAATGTAACATAGAGTCCATTTGAAATTCATGGTTCCTGGTTATTTTTAATTTCAGGATTTATTATTTTTGTATTTTATTTTTAATTTATTTATTTGTACACCACGAATTAATACTAACATTACAAGCAAAACCTAATTCGTTAGAGAAGGCATATAAATAAAATAATTTAAGAAACAACATATTATATTTAAGGCAACCCTTTTGAATTCACTGAGTGTGCAATGAAGTAAGTCAATTGTATCAGCTACTCTGTATTATAACATAGCCTGCGGTGTAGTTTACTGAGAAAATGACTAAATTAGTACTACTTTCAAAGCATTTACTATATTGTGGATTTACCAGTAGTGGCAATCGCAAATACAGCTCTGGGAAGGACAATATTAAACTTTTTCAGACTCAATAATATGTTTTCAAGCATTTACAAAAACAATTTCTTCCTTCCTTAATTTTAGCATTCTTACGTTCTTGTATTATCTAAATACAAACATGTCGGAATATAACCGAAAGGGAAACGTTG